GTGAATGCATTTTTGCATTGGGCAATATTTCTTGCCAGATTTGGTCCTATGTTTACAAAAAAATTATTGAATTTGTCAGCCATAATTTGAGGATCATCAGTTGGATTTTTGTTAAAGGGAATGTACATCATTGGCTTTTGCTGTAATTTTCAGAAATGAACTATTTTGAGGGGTTAGTATAACAGATCAAATATTGTTACACTGACATGTTTGAAGTTTTGTGTTCGAAAATGCTGGAAAAAAACAAAAAAAAACAAAAATGTTTAAGTAGTCTGGTTCCCTGACTCCACTAAAGATGAAATGGATCAATTTATAGATGCCGGAAAAAATGGTAAATTTGGAGCAATAGCTGAAAAATAGTTAGGTTTTTCCAACAGTGGTCGGCCGACCACCGTTGGAAATTGATACAAAATACCAGTTTCTTGAAAATGACTTCACACCTGGTGACATAATTTTACAGGGTGCTTTAGACTTTCATTTACCAACATCCTAGTAAGGTATTTCGTAAAAAAATTGGTAGTTTTGTTTTTCGATGTTTGCAAGTGTTGTATATTCCCTTTAACTGTAATATTAGAGATTCTTGCCATTGGTAGTGAGGTGATGATTGGAAAATGGTCACTAATATCCGAAGTTAAAATAATAGAGCTTGTTAATATGGGTAAAACGTTGGTGAATAATATTGTCAATTAGAGTAGCTGAAGTTCGGGTTACTCTTGTGGCTTTATCCGTGAGTGGAATAAAAGAGTGTGAAAACATAATGTCAATGAAATTTTGAACTGAAGTATTATCTTCATAATTTAGAAGGTTTAATATTTAGGTCTCCAGCAAGAATACTATGTTTGTTTTCAGTAGAAATGCAGGTGATTATATTCTCAAAATAATTCATGAAATCATTGGCCCTAGAGAGGTTGAGAAAAACCAGACAAAGATTTTTGGGTATGCTTCGGTCCTTCCACGCCGAGCGTTTAATGCACAATAGCCACCTGGCATATGTCGAGAGCCCGGAAAAGGTGGTTCCATGAGCACCAGAAGTGAGGGAGGCTGGCTGATGGGTTCGGGCTGGTGGAGGGACCAGAGCTGCCGGTCATGCGGTGGCGGCACCAGAGGCTGTACTGGTTGCCAAACATCGACTGCTGGGCGCTTGTGCAGTTCCAGACCCCGTTCCGCGACTGCTGTCATGGCTGTACTGGGGCTGGAAGTTGTTGGGCTGGAAAGCTTGCGAGATTGTTTCCAAGTTAGACGAAGTTCCTGGTATGCAAGTGGGTTGGCCTGATCGTCCCTTGGGTGCTGAGGAGTTCTGTCCCGTACCAGGTTGGGGGAGACATTGGGGACATTGCCGAAAAGTGCTGCGTCGGCCGCGCCAGCGACCCTCGAGTTGATCGATCGTGTTGTGTCGTTAGTGGCCGGAATGGCGGCCGCTTGAGGGCGCTGTTCCGTTTCACCGATAGCCGGGCTGGAGCTGAAAGGACCCGCGCTTGTGCGGTGCTGTTGCATGCCGTCTTGTGGATTCAGCAATACCTGTAGAGCCCGAGATTGAGCTCGAGTTTGCCTAATTGGCGGGCAATCGTTGCGTTTTCCGGAGCCCTCTGAGTATACAGTGTTTAAACGTCGGTGAAGGGCAAAACCTAATTTGATTTATATCACCCCGACGCAAAATTCCATCTTATAATAATATCGTTCATGCACGCTATTTTTTTTAGCATCCTGAACATGACAATTTACCGGTACATAAAACTGGAATTTCACGGGCGCACTAATGCGCCATCGCGGGGACAAGATTTTGACGCTGGTAAAAGTTTTGGAAATTCAAAAAAATTTGTTGTGGATACGTACGTATGATAGTGAACACATCAGGCAAGGCTTGGCCAAGGCAAGCCTATCATTCTCGTTAGTTGTGTCGGTGGCCGGCTGTAATCACACAACATTTTTTTGCAATAAATTTCTAATTTTCCCATCTGGGCGCCAGTTTGTCTGCAGATTTCAACCAAACGGAGCGGCTGATTCATGCACTGTACATTTTGTACGGCAAGACTTTTCGTACAGTCTTCTTTGCTCAAAGAGAGAATTTGGAATTGCTACAAGACTGTACAGGAAAACAATAGTGGTGCCGTACTGACACCCGATCGCAACAGTCTAAGACTACCATGTGATGAGCCATATTCTCTGGCCGGCCCCGGCTGCCCCAGCTTGGCCCCATCGGGGTGCGGATGGGACCACACTGTGACACACCATATTTCAAATGTATGTAGGAGAGCTACATGTATGTTTTGTAAAACTTCAAAGTTCAGGTAACTCTTAGTACAATGCCGCTAGAATTTTTAATACCGTACAAGAAATAACTGAGATATGATAATAGTGACTTGTAGGGAAGACTGTTTTTGGACCACTTGTCTATGGCCAATCTTGGAGAAACCGTAGTCCGGCAACTATATAATTTCATGAATTTACGCGAACCGTGCAATCAAGCATCTCTCATGCGACAGTTCCTCGATTGCTTTGTAAAGCGCATGCGTAGTAGACTGTCGCACGGATAACCCATGCGACAGCCTACTACGCATGCGTATTTAGCCTGTGTGTGAATCCTCACGCGCGCGTTTGGTAAACTGCAAGAATAACATCTGGCACGTGATGGTGAATTGACCAGTGAAAGTTTGGCTCTCGGTCATGAATATGTATGAGGTATAGTTATATGATGTACCATGGGTCTACTCTACAATAATTTGACATTTAGAATTCCACAACCTCTTTAAGGCCCATTATAAAAGTTCACCCACAGATTCTGTATCTTGATTGGCCAAGAGCAAATCACATGGCATTTGCTATTTTTGCTATTTCGCTGTGCACAGCCAAAAGTACTGTACCAGTGGCGGATTCAGAGAGGTTCATGCCGGGGGGGGCGCCCCTGGAAAATGGCCTTATTTTACAAAATTTTGGTCACTGCCGGGGGGGGGGGGGGGGGGCGCACGCCCCCGTAGCACCCCCCTGGATCCGCCAATGTGTACCCGTAGCAACCAGAGTACTATATATAAGAACCGGTATTGTGTACAAATGCATACATGGGTGTGCACATTACACATACTGTTCCCAAGTGCTAGTGCTACAGAGCTGGGTTCAAACATTTTGTTAAGGGGTGGCTTGAAAAGTGCAAGTAAATTTTCAACTTATTTCCTTTTAAATTGAAATAGACTTAAATTGTATAGGTTTTTCCAGACAATTTTGGAAAATGTGTAGATGAATTTGTAAAACTAGCATTCTTTTTCGTGGGAAATAGAATGAATGTTCCAAATCCCTGTTTTTGTTTAACAAATGATAATTCTATTTCCATGAAGGGGCATTCAGTCTTAAATAATCAGCGTATGATTTCCCGAATGTGCACTGAATTTAGTATATTGACATTTCATTTTAGCAGCCGACTTCCCGTGCAGTGTTACTTAACTGGTCAAGCATTGGAATTCATTTATGTGTTCACAAAAGTAACATTTGAGGAACTTTTGATTGAAAGATAGAATGTTTGAATATTCATGATGATTGAACTAAACCAATTGGTGTAGCCTTTTGAAACATACCAACTATTGTAATAAATCCTATATACAAATCTAAGCTGAAGACAATCGTTCTTTGTTCGCTCAGCATGTGCCATGATCGCATCATTTCACCAAGCAAATCGAACTGATAAATGAGAGAGAACTTTAAGAAATACAGAAAGACATTAAAATACAATTAAGACAAGGAACCAACAATAAAAAGTTCCCAGATATCCCCTGTAATATGACACATGATGTTTCCTTTACCGTCCCAATACCTAATATGCCTACAAGATTATTTTGATTGATTTTATTTTGGTAAGATTTATATCTTTTTAACATTTCATTTGCCTATTTGAAATAGGCCTTTGTATATATATTTATAAGAACAAACGCATTAATGCTCAATTAGGCCTACAATACATTGATAAATTAATGAATCAATCAAAGTTGTATCATGATTTGCATAGGCCTGTATATTTTTAATTAAATTGAATAAAGAATATGTGAATTTAAATTGTAACAAATGAAAACGAATGTTCAATTTAGCCCATGTCGCAATAAAACAAACATTTTCTGCGAATTGGATTGCACATTCGTAATAATCGGTAACGCATCCGTCAAACCGAATGCCTAATCCTTGCAATCCTTTAAATGAAACGTTATGCACATTCATTTATTTGAATGAAGCAAAATGAAATTGAATGCTAGTTATTGCAAAAATTAAACCAGGATGAATTTATGTTTTACAAATTCAAATGCACATTTTCCAAAATTGTCCTGGAAAACCTATATTTAGATTAAATTAATCAGTTTTTGCTTAGAGTCAAGCAGAATGTGTGGGAAAGGTGTTATAAAACAAATATTGACTGCTTGATCTCGTGGTGTAGTAAAACAAGCATCCCTTGGTGAGCCATGGAGCATTCTATTTTTCCTCGGCTTGGCCTCGGGACAAATGGAATGCTTCATGGATCACCTCGGGAGGCTAGTTTTACTACACCACTCAAAGCAGTCAGTGTTTTGTGTACTATTACTGCACACACGGGACTTAAAAAATGTGAAAATGTTATTAAGTAGGTTTAGAATTTACATCAGGGTGATGCAAATCCAACATTTGGCCCTGCCCTTCACCGACATATTTTATAAACACTGTGTACGCAGCGTTGCCCGAGAGCTTGCCAGAAACATTCACAAAATGTGGAGAAAAAAAGGGTACAAATTTAATCCAACCAGATGAAATTTGTTTTTGTGAAGACCAAATGTATACATACATTCAAAGTTCACTTCTGCATGTAATGGGGCCAGCAAATTTGTCTTTTGCTATTGAGGATCAGATATTAAAACAGTACTGAAATTATTCGTTTGAAAGCAACAATGAGCACAATACACTGAATTAATTGCCATAAATGTTCTTTTGCCTCAACCAAAAGCTTATTTCCACTAACCTTGACAAAATGTTTGCTTCCAATCATGCAGGCCCATTCAAATGCAACCAGAAAACTCTTTATCTACAAACCAGATCAGCAGTGCTTATGGAGAAGGATGTGATGACCTGGACCTGTTTCTCTGTGGTTTAGACCTTGGTCACCTCAGCCATTGTTTTCATCAGCAAGCAATCAAGTTCTCTGTCCTCCTACAGATGTCAGAGGAAGATCTGGAAAAGGTACTGCTGTTCTAGTTTTTACGCCCCGCGACGAAATCAAGGGGCATACTGTTTCCGCCTTGTACTGTGCTCTTGTGTGGCTTAATGATCAAGGATAGACACCCAAAGGGAGAACAAAAGATTCTTTCAGTCCTCTAGCATTAGGTCTTTTGTTGAAAATGGTCCTCGATCATACGGTTATGTGCTTAGTCTATAAGAAAGTGTAATATTAAGGAAACACAAAGCATTGTTCCTCGAGAGTGTAGAAATTCACGTCTGTGTGAGTAGTTTTATGGTGTAAATCTAGGACACACACTTGCAACATCATCGATTAATTGAGGACACGTAAAGAAAATACCAAGGAAGAACCGGTTTTGTGCGAGCAAAATTCAGGGAACAATCTGTTGATACTAATATCTTGTTCGAAAATTCCAAAGTCATTCCAAGAAGGTTTCCGCCGTGAATTAGGGTTTATAAAGGGGAGGAAGATGGGATTTGCTATCAGCATTAACAGGGCCGTTCCTCATTCTTTACATTTTATGGGATGTGAATCAAATTGGAGGACGAGAGGCTCTGCGAGCTGATGAATCTTTTTGAAAACATTGTTTGTTACGTTCTCATCATTCAAGTTTTTTTCTTGGTTGGATGGTGGAGATGGGTTAATCCTTGATCAGACCAGGCCATCTTTCATGTGTTTTTTTTGTCGTTTGTATGCCAGGATGGGTTTGGTCACAAAGAGTGCATGGAGAAAGTCATTATCGCTGATCAGATCCCAGTGCTTTTAGAAGGGCCTGCTTGAGAGCTGGGTGTTTTATTTGTGGGTATAGGGTAGAACAAAAACAAGTGGGATATTCATTTCGGTTTTAGCATGCTTTTTACCCCTCAGCCGAGAGGCTCGAGGGGTATTGTCATCGCCTAGGGCGTCCGTCCGTCCGGATGTATGTCCGTCCGTCCGTCCGTCCGTCCGTCCGGGTAGCTTGGTTTCCGGATGATAACTTGAGTTTAAAATGTCGTTTGGGGTTGTAACTTCGGTAGGGGGTTGCCCTTGGGAGTAGGCAAGTTGGGATTGGTTTTGAGGTCAAAAGGTCAAAGGTCAAGGTCACCGTGGTGAGTTAAAGGTACATGGTTTCCGGATGATAACTTGAGTTAGAAATGAGATTTTGGTGTCTAACTTTGGTAGAGGGTTGCCCTTGGGAGTAGGCAAGTTGGGATTGGTTTTGGGGTCAAAAGGTCAAAGGTCAAGGTCACCATGGTGAGTTAAAGGTAAATGGTTTCCGGATGATAACTTGAGTTAGAAATGAGATTTTGGTGTCTAACTTTGGTAGAGGGTTACCCTTGGGAGTAGGCAAGTTGGGATTGGTTTTGAGGTCAAAAGGTCAAAGGTCAAGGTCACCGTGGTGAGTTAAAGGTAAATGGTTTCCTGATGATAACTTGAGTTAGAAATGAGATTTTGGTGTCTAACTTTGGTAGAGGGTTGCCCTTGGTGTTAGGCAAGTTGGGATTGGTTTTGGGGTCAAAAGGTCAAAGGTCAAGGTCACCATGGTGAGTTAAAGATAAATGGTTACAGGATGATAATTGAGTTAGAAATGAGATTTTGGGGTCTAACTTTTGTAGAGGGTTACTCTTGGGAGTAGGCAAGTTGGGATTGGTTTTGGGGTCACAAGGTCAAAGGTCAAGGTCAGCATGGTGAATTCAAGGTAAATGGTTTCCGGATGATAACTTGAGTTAGAAATAAGATTTTTATGTCTAACTTTGGTAGGGTGTTGCCCTTGGGAGTAGGCAAGTTGGGATTGGTTTTGGGGTCAAAAGGTCAAAGGTCAAGGTCACCGTGGTGAGTTAAATGTTAATGGTTCCCGGATGATAACCTGACTCTGGCTGAGGGGTTTCAACAGCAACGCTGTTATTTTTAGAGTTTACACGAGTTTCGCCTTGTGGGGTACCGGAACAATGGGAGGTACCCCACAAGGAATGCCCACCGACTTGCGGGGTACCGTTTTGGTACCCCACAAGTTTTTCACGAAATAGATATGGATTTTACTCAAAAACTAGGAATTTCCAAGGTGGGTTGATGTGTCGCAAGTGGAAGAGTTTTAGAAAAGAGATATCGAGTCCGAATTTCAGTCCAGGAAATTAACTATGGTTAAAATAAGAGCATTTTGACATAAGTGTGCGACGTTGCAAAATTTTAGTTCACGAGAACAAAGGAAGTACCCCACTTCTATGCCTATGTAAGCGGGTGGGATGGGTGGGTGGGTGTGTGTGTCCGGATAAATCTTGTCAGCGCGATAACTTGAGAAATACTTTACATGTGAATTTCAAATTTGGTTTGTGGATTGTTCTTGGCAATCCTAAGAAGCCTATTGCATTGGGGGCCGAAAGGTCAAGGGTCAAGGTCACAGTGGCTAAAATAAAAGAAATTTTGTCAGCGTGATAACTTGAGAAATACTTTACATGTGAACTTCAAATTTGGTTTGTGGATTGTTTTTGGCAATCCTTAGAAGCCTATTGTATTGGGGGTTGAAAGGTCCAGGGTCAAGGTCACAGTGGCAATCCTAAGAAGCCTATTGCATTGGGGGTCGAAAGGTTTAGGGTCAAGGTCACAGTGGCTACAACAAAAGAAATTTTGTCAGCATGATAACTTGAGAAATACTTTACATGTGAACTTCAAATTTGGTTTGTGGATTGTTTTTGGCAATCATTAGAAGCCTATTGCATTGGGGGTTGAAAGGTCCAGGGTCAAGGTCACAGTGGCTAAAACAAAAGACATTTTGTCAGCGCGATAACTTGAGAAATACTTTACATGTGAACTTCAAATTTGGTATGTGGATTGTTCTTGGTAATCCTAAGAAGCCTATTGCATTTTGGACAGAAATATCAAGGGTCAAAGTCACAGTGGCTAAAATAATAGAAATCTTGTATTTATTCTGAGATCATAGGGATTGAATCATATAAAACCTACAGAAAACACTGATGCTGTCAATAAACGTTCCATGTGACCCAAGTACATGTACATGAGTTGATGTTAAAAGAGTGGTGGTAAGTCATGGGAACAGTCACAGTTGCGGGGCATTTGTGTTTGTAAACACACCTGACTTGTTTCTGTTAACATGTACGTGTATTTATTCCAAGCATTGAATTTTGATTTGTAACATTTGAGCAGTGCCAGTGGCGTGTACACATCTCCATATGTCGTTGCTCAGTCCATGATCCACCCTAGCTCAGTCCATGGTTGTTGCAGTTGTACTTTGTACGTGCACTTTAATGATTGCAAGTACATTAGGCCTACGTGAATTTCCTTCCATTTTATGTCGTACTGTCAGCCTAAAATATATTTTTATTTTAATTAGAAGTAAAATTTGATAATTTTAGGTGCAAATTTTGATTATTTTGATTGCACTTTTTAAAAAACACGGCGCTAATATCTTGTTTCCGGACAGTCAAACTGAACAATTCAGTTTGGTTCGGTCTGGTTTGGTTCAGAGTGTTACGTTCAGCGAATTTTAGTTCAGTTGGGCGGTTTGGCTGCATATCCCAGTGGAACAGAAGCAAGCGCCTTAAGGATTGCTGGAATGCAAAGAATCTATGCAGTGTGCACTAACCCTTCCAATTTAATGGAATAATGTAAGCTGCAGTTAAAAGTCACCTTTCAAGTCAAGTTTGTTGTCCTGCATATAATGTAATTTTTGTTTGTTTCTTGGGGGGTTGTTTGACCAACAGATAGGCATAAACAAGTACGGATGGCGACAAAAGATAATGGATGCTGTACAGGAAATTCACAAAAGAAAATGGGAACCAGGAAGTGTGCAGGCCACTGGCAAAAGGATTCTCAGGTCGGTAATGCATAACATAATCTCCAACCTTTGGGGAAAAACTTAATTTAATGTATGATTTGCAGTTTTTTTTCTTTATGTGCATCTGTGCTGTTTTAGTTTAACATGTTTAATGTGCATTTAGTATAGGTATTATGCTCTTTGAGTTTTGGGATAAGCTTGTTTAAAAATGTCTCAATATTTGACAAATAACAGTTGCTCTCTAGTTGTTAAATATTTCAACATTCCATCAACATATGTTTTATAATAATATAACATAAAGACACCGTTTAATAATTTATGTCAAATTTAGTCAACCCTCAAATTTAAGTTTGGTTCAGCAAGGTTAAAATATAAACAATGATTCAATTCTGGTTCAGCAAGCAGTTTAAAAGTGCCCTTTGCAGGACCCAGAATATAACCCAACCACACCACACTGCCACTGCTTTCCATTGTGAATAATGTATTTCCGTATTTTATGCGCTCTCCACTTATGCTGCAATAAGTTGCTTGTGTATCAACTTAGCTGACTGAACAGTCCCGTATGTTGGGCATGCACACATACCGGTAGTACAGAAAGTGTAACTTTTTGTTCTCTCAATATAAGTTTTTAAATGAAGATAAATGAAAACACCCCTGTGCTGTACGGATGGCTATGGGACCGTGCTGTGCTTGGATCGACATCTTGAAAATCAAGGAAACCTAGCCTCACTGTGTTCCTTATAGTATGACGTCAGCATAAATTTTCAGATAAGCCTATTTCTACATGTACATGAGTAATGTACAAGACCAGTTGTCAACTTTGAACTCATTAAAGGAATCAGTTCAGTTCACTTTAAGGATCATGTATGTCCTTGAATAAAACAAATTTGCCTTTAAATTTGCATTCACTAATTCCTCAGACGTTGAACAATTCTGATTGGTTTGAAGCCTGTCAGTAGCAACTGTTGTTACAGTTGTTATAATTTCAAAGAAACATAAATGCACCATCACACAAATTATTTTTTAGGGTAACGTTCATTTTGGCTTTTTTCAGAATCTGAAGGGTCACTTGATCAACCCCAAAAAGAAATTCAAACTTTTGCTAGCATTAGATAGACTGTGTTTCAAGATATAAACAATAAATTACATTGCTTTTTCCTCGTGAAAGTTTGTGTCATGTGACCACAACAAAGCTTAGTTTTCTGGCAACAAGTGTGACTTGGTCGATAAGTATGAGCTATAACAGCCCACGAGGAAAGTATATTTCAAAATTTGAGTTTCTTTTTTTAATTGAATCAGTAACAGAGTTAGTCTACTTCATTCACTTACCCAAATAGCTACTACATATGCATATTTATTCAGCCGACAGGCTCAAACGCTAAAAGATTTAATCAACCAACGAGCGCCCTCTCGGGGCCTACCCATTATGTTACGTCATGAATCTGCCATTATACTTTCTCTTTATTTCTAGCGCGGCATCGTGCAGAAGCAAAAAATTTTGCTCTCGCCTTTTGACGAGTTTTTGTACAATTTTCGCTTGAAGAGTTTCTGTTTTATAGAATTTATCAACCAAGTGAGTTGTGTAGAATCTGTAGAGTTTGGTTTGAGTAAGTAGTTCTCATTTGGAGTCTTTTTGCTTTCATTCGTGGCGTAGCAGGTTTTTCAGCCTTTGTCAGACACCATGTGTGGCGGGCCAGGTCGGCACTGCGGGGCTAACCCAGTGCCGGGTAGGCATCGTGGGTTCTCCCTTTGGGATCAAGTGCAATCCCTTTATAGCCGAGTCGGCTTTCCTAAGTTAGTATTATTTCTGTTTTACAGTTATCTAATAATAATATTTCTTTGTCAAAAATAATAATTTCATAATTATTAATTTCAAAAAAGAAAAAAAGAAAAAAAAGCAGTACATTTAATTTATGACTACATACATGGACGAATCCATAAAGGCCTTAGGGGAGACAGTGCATTGTATCCGCGGAGAGAAGTGCGGTTATTCTCCACAAGGTCGGCTAGTCGCCCCACACGTGGGGCCCCTGTTCCGGAAGTCAGACTTTCAGCCATTCAGGGGACTAGCGAAATGTTTTGAGGAATACAGCGGTTTCGGCCGTTCCCTGTTCTCCGTTCGTTTCCCCTAAGCTCGCAGTGAGCTAGCGCCTAGCAAGACGCGTACAGTGGGGGTACATCAACCAGCGGTCGTTCCCTTCCCCTTGGCTGTTCTCAACTGCATATATCTCAGTAGTACAATAGTACGAAAAGACGAGATAGCAGTGAGTCCCCACGCAGGGACATCGCTGTAGTCTGTAACGGTCATCCCGTGTTACACGTTTTGGCCAGCATCAGACATACATCCTACGGTATGGAACACCATGAGGGCACCGGGGATAAAACTCCCCGTACAACCGCGGCCCCCAGGCGACCAGCCGTAAGGATCCCGCGGTTAAAAAGACCGCATCAAAGGCCACCAGTGGTCTCAACGGTAAGACCCAAAAAGGGACCACTAGTTGCTCGAACGGGCAGGACTCGCCGTGACTGACTTGCCTCCTCCCCCAATTTGGACCACGGACTCGCAGTCAACGTCATTCTTTGATCAATGCTCTGGAATTCCCAGCATATTATCGGAGTTTTCACAGTCAAGTGAATCAAGTCACCCAAGTAAGAAAAGGAAACAAAGGCAGCGCCGTCTTCTTCAGGGGATTCCACCCATAAGTCAACGCATCGGCAAAAGAAAAACAAAGGTGTATCCACGGAAATCTTTCTAAAAGCTTTCCAGGACATCAATCTTTCACTAGCAGCCCTCACTAAACAACAACAATGGAGATCGGCCCCAGCGGTGACTGGGAGGTCACTCCCGGCGGCCACATTTCCGGACCCAGATCAGGGTCTAATCCGGCCGGATCCGGGCGTGGTCCGGCCGGATCTGGCTTAATTCAGCCGGATCCGGGCGTAATCCTGCCGAATTCGGGCGGGATAAGAAGGGAACACACTGGGCCCCCAGATCCTGGGGTTGCCATTAGTGTCAGCTCCGATAATCCACCTACTCCGTCCGTGATTGGGCGCCCCCGAGATCACAGGGTGGAATTTCTTTACACCTAGCCCCATAAATGTGGCCAATTTACTGGACTACCTCCGTAAACATAGGCCACACATCCACCATGTACAAAAACATGTCGAACTTTGTCAAATTTTGATTTTCACATTTAGGCTTAATTTGTAGGATTTTTTCTTGAGAAGCATACTCACCCTCTTCATAGGCTAATCATAAAGTGCTGCCTTTTCCGGATGTCTAATTTTCATGAAATTTCACGTTGAAATTTTGATACGCAAAAGTGGGCAAACGAATCTGGAAATTTCACAAAAAATAGACATCTGAAAGAGGCATCACTTTCTAATTGGCCTATAAAGAGGGTCAGTATGCTTCTTAAGCAAAACAATCTACAAATTAAGCCTAAATGTGAAAATCAAAATTTAACAAAGTTTGACATGTTTTTGTAAATGGTGGATTGTGTCGCCTATGTTTACGAAGGTAGTCCAGTAAATTGGCCACATTTATGGGGCTACTTTACACCCATCTATGAATTTGGGCACTTCTGTTCAAGATGTTCCTGACATAGATGTCGATAGTACTCACCCCCCTTCCACTCACTCGCAAGATGGGTGTTCTGGGGATGAAGAGGCCACTGACCCTGGCAATTTTCGCCATTTGAGACTCAGCTGAGGCTGGTTCAAATAGATATGGTTCGGGTACTGCAACTACCAGAGAGCAGTAAACCAGAGACCACCCGTCGTTCTTTCAAATGCTGGACTGGCGTGGAGGAACCTCGAGATCCAGCTTTCCCAGCTATGCCAGTGGATCGTTTATGCGCTGATTGCATCCAACGGATCGCCCATTCAAAGAAATGGACTGCTTTCAACAAAAGGTCGGCAGCCTATTTCCTGTTTCCAGAAAAGGACCGAGAAATAGGTTCTTGCTATTCCGGATATGGCCAAAGACAAATTGACTGGAGATAGCGGCAAAGCCCCGACCAAGTCAATATTTGTCGATAAGACTAGAGCAAAGATGGAGGATACAATGAAGAAAGTCGATGAGGCGGCTAGATTTGGCTCAAAACAAGCGCCTTTTTACTTTTATTATCTGAATATATCGTCTGCGCCTGTGAGGAGGATTCACAAATTCCAGCCGATATGTTAGCAGCAGCCTTCCGATGTCTGGACGAAATACTTCGTTTTTCTCTAGATCAGCTTACGAAAATCTCTATCTTGTCCGCCAAATCACGTAGGACTAACGTGATAGAGGCACTTTACATACCACACGAAGGCGCTAAGAAGAAGTTACAAGACCTTCCTCTTATGGGCAAAGACCTTTTCGGTGGCAAATTCCAGGAAATTCTGGAAGTTCAAGCCAAAACAGCGGACAAACTGAGCTTGAAGAAGCCTTCAGCTACTAACAAGCCCAAGTTCTCTGGGAAGAAGGCAAGGAGAGGTGCTCCCTCATTTCACCCTGCCCTTAGAAAACCATTCAAGCCCTTTCGCCAACAGACGGCCAAGGCATCAGCTGGTGCAATAGTTTCAGCTCCACGCCCCTACTCGCATGAAGATTTGCGCGACTTGGGACTGCAAGTTGGTCTATTATGGTTCCCCTGGCGTATACATGTTGTCCAGAATAGCCCCATTGTGTTCCCATGCCGTCAGTCAAATCCCCATGGTGTCCCCATGGTGGCAATAAAATCCTCATGGTGTTCCCCATGGTGGCAATAAAATCCTCATGGTGTTCCCATGGTGACCATAACATCCCCATTGTGTTCCCGTAGTGTCCACAAAATCCCCATGGTGTTCCCATGGTGTCCACAAAATCCCCATGGTGTTCCCATGGTGTTCATAAATCCCCATGGTGTTCCCATGGGGTTCATTGTAACTTACATGGTGTTCTTGATTACCCCCATGGGTCCTATGGGACTGGGATCCCCGTGGAATATTTTTCATAAAGGTCGATACCTGACATCCGCGTCTCGATAGTCCACCTCGTTCCAGCAGTAGATAATTGGAGAGATCAGGCATATGGGGACGAGGTTGCGTTTATAGCGTAAACATTGGTACAACGCGCGCAGTGCATTACGGCAGTACAACACGGTTCAGTACATCAGTGGCGCTCACTCAGCGGAGAAACCAGGCTTGTATTGAAGACTAGTGCAGTGCTGACACTTTTTTTTACACAATAAACATGGCCGCCATCATGATCTGCAACACTTTCGGACATGCATTGTAGCAAACAAAGTCTGAATCACCATTTTGTTATTATTATCAATTTTTAAATATAGTGTCATAGAATACTGAAAAATATTGTACAAAGTTTTGTGTGCTTGGCAATTTCCTCTTCTGTTTCAACTACTAAGTTGCATGCTGGAAACCTGGAAACGCCATTGAAAACTCCTAAGCTAGGAGAGCATTGACTTAAAATATCTGCGTCATTTGAAGCATTACTTTCTCCCAACCATGTGACTACGTAAAACAATCTGAAAAAGGGAAACAGCAGAAGCAAAAGTGAGCTCGATTTTCTCCTTTAGGAACAGGATACCAACAAGTGAATTTTTTTTTTTTAGATTCATGTATCTCTAATTTTTGTTTGTTTGGGAATTGGAGTTAATTAAAATGATTTCACAAAATTTGAAATTAACCATTCAGGAAAAGGCAATGGACAAACTACATCTCATAATTAAAGCAAGTTTTTTATTATTTTTGTTCACAGCCATTCAGAATCCATGGCTCTGATTAAAAATATAACCAAGCACGTGGCTTACATTGGAAGCAGTATTACGTATGTGGGTAATAACTGGAAGGCCCACAAAACATTGTTTGATGAACAAGATGACCCAGTCAATCTACAGAGATTAATGACGGAGACGGACGAAGGACTCAATAAGACCATCAGGCTTTTTGAGGAATTTCGGAAACTTAAAGGCCAGCTGAACCAGGCAAGTTGAACATTTAGTTGTTTTGTTTGGTTGGTTTTTTTTTGGGGGGGGGGGGAAGGGTTAGTGGTGGTTTTGTTTTTCTTGCCCTTAAACCAAAAAAAGTCTCTGGTTTCTGGTCTGGGCGCGTCACTGTAGCTATGCGCATCGGCAAAAATAAAAAGTTTTTTTTTTCAATATAAGATGATGTCTCAAAACCGCCAAACTCACTGGTTTGACTGGAATCCTGCTGCTGCACAATTTTAATGTGTTTTTAGATGGGGTTCCAGTCGAGTATAAGCTTTATGTGGCCTCTCTGGGCTCCCATATATTTGTCACTAAATTTAGTCATGCATCAGTTGCAGACATTGTTGTGATTTTGTAATTGTGCGTCTGGAAGCCAAATGTGTATCTGGAACCTGAAACCTGTAAACGCTTTTTTTAATTAGCACAAACATGTAAGGAAGCAGACTAATTACCAGCCCAAATAGAACTATTGTTAAAAAAAGTTCTAAATGTTGTTTGGCGTAATTGCAAGAATGAGGAAATCGTTCTGGAATGCTACCCATTTCAGGTCAAAGGAATTGCAGGAACTAGAGTCCACCCATAATTTCCTGTGGATGTTAAATCTGATTTTTGCATAGAACATTAATGTATGTTGTTGGGAATAATGATTGGATGAATCAGTGTGAATCAAATTTGAGTTTGATTTGGTATGTAATTCATTACAGAGACATTTCACATACCGGTACATGTAAATACTTGACATTAGTCTCCACAGTCAAAATATCAATTTGTGAGATGGAAGGACTAGGCAAGTAATTAACCAAAATAACTATTTTCAATCTATAATATATTCAGTTGCCATGGCAAATAGCCATTATTAGTAAGGGCAGTTTGGACAAATGTTGGGGTCACAAAAAATTGGTTTCTCTTTATTGTTTCAAGGCAAAAATAAATCAAAACTTTCATGGGCACTGCACTACACAGCAGGACGTTTGTTCAAACCGCATGGTTCACTTAAAGGGACACTAGGTCCTGGAACAGCCCAATTGGGCTACAAAACGTGCTTTGAACGAGATGATGATAATCGGAAATAACTTTTAAAAGTAGGATATAAACATCCACACAACTATCCTTTCAAAACTAGGCGTTTTTGTGTTATTCCTGTATTATGCGTGCGAGAACGAATTTTGGGGTCCACTTTTGCGACCCCATAATTCGACCTTGAAGAAACCACAATTTTTTTGCATTGGTGATTGGTCACCAAGCGCTGTTCCCGAGACACATAACGTGTATATAACGTAAAAAAACGTATTCGTACTCCGTCATGTCCGATGTAAACAAGCGGGTTTTTTTCGTCTTTTCTCGGGAACAGTAAGACATTAGGTTGGTTTCCTTTCAACCAGATGTTTGAAATAGGCTAAGTAAACAATCCAAAACATAACATTTTCGGGGATTTCAGGACCTAGTGCCCCTTTAAATCATTGTAACAAAGATAATTGGCCTGAACACCAAAAATAAAATTACTTAAAAAATTCTCCCTTTGTTATTTTTAACACTACACAACCCTATGTTTATTTGGTGATAGCCCGATTGTCCGAAGGTTCGATAGTTCAAAGGGCCCATTACAGCTGTGTGGTTGCGAAGGGCAATTTCTATAGGTTATGTAACACTTTATTTGGAATGAAAGTAAATGCACACAGACAAGTTCATGTTGGCGGGTGAAATCTTTGAAAATTAATTTCTGCCGTTTGGAAGATTGTATCTTCTTGCAACTTTCATGGTTTATTTCCCTTTTAATGATCCAAGTATGTGTTAAAAAGCATTATGATATGTTCATGACGTTTCGTTGAAATTGGAAAAATAGGCCTGTCTACGTGCTTTTTTTAAAGTTATAACACTGGTGTTTGCAATATCTGTCAATCTTTTCAAGCCTCACGATTATTAATAAGGTTCCTATCCATAATGGTGTGCAGGAAAAAATTGCATAAAAGCCTCCTTCAGGAGTTATTAAGAACCCTAACCTCCCCCAATCCTACAAAATACTACTGAGGAGTAACCTGTAGTATGAATTTCTTTCCATACAAGTGTGCACAGCACATGTACCGTAATTTCCTGCGGATAAGACGCGTCTTATCTGACTTTCTAGACCACAAAAACATCGCTGCGCCTTATCTACAGGTGCGCCTTATCTGGTGTCGCTTGAGTTCAAAGTGACGGTCTTTGTGTGAAGAATTCTTTCAATGCCGCAATCAATAATGCGGTCAACCAAGGCTCAACTCTCCAGACATTGTGACCGTATTTTCATTCCAACAATGCCGCGATGTGTTGATCCCCCATGATCGTGCTTTCATTCGAACAATGCCGCAATGCGTTGATCCCCCTTTTAATAGTGATCGTGCTTTCGTTCCAACAATGCCGTCATACAAACGTTTTTCTTTGTGGCCGTTAGTCACCGGTAGAGGGCGCAACATCTGGCTCGGAGGGACTGGGCAAGTCTACGAATCTGATCCAGCGTGCGTGTTGCAATATCTTCAGACAGCGCGTGGACCATCGTTTCTGGCCGCTGATTGGGCCGCACTGCATTAACAAAAGGCCAAGGAAGGCAAGGATCGGAAACCGCAAGCAAGCATGCACAGCGCGCGTTGGCTGAATGGATGAAGGTCGGTATCAATTTACATTGGTCTTTTCTTCATGGCTCTACATGTGACCAGCCAATGTGGTTACGGTTTAATAATTCATCCTCCGAATAGTGTGATCGTTCTAAGGCAACACAATGGCCCCTTTGTGGCGATGTACCGACACCGGGTGACGCCTGGTGTTCTTCTGTGTGCGGTCAAACATGCGTCTTATGCGGCAGTGCGCCTTATCTGTTGGCGTTTGAATTTTTTTGGGGTGATTTTAGGGACCTGCGCCTTATCCGCCGCGCGCCTTATCCGCAGGAAATTACGGTAGTATTCTGTGGTATTTGATACTTGACCCCCAAACAGCCCTTTGGGGATTTTATTGATAAATATCTCCCTTTTTGCCAGATTCCATGGGTCAATACCGAGACCCACTCCAAGTCATGCTGAGAGACGCTAATGAATATGCTAATATGCGCTTCGTCATTGTGTTGCCGGATTAGCACAGAATTGTTCTTGTTAGCACAGAATGGTGATCGTAAGCGCGGAATTCTGTGGTTAGCAGAGCAATGAAATTGGGCTCTGGTTAAAGCAGGAAGTTGATACTGCACCAAGTAAATGTTTGTTTCTTGCACCAGATCTACTAACAGTCTTGTGGTAGTAAAATTGCCCCTGTAGAAACAAATCCTGAGTCAACATTGGTCATTTCATATATCAAGAGAAAATCTTCTGCAATCGTATCGGACTTTACTAGCTCTGACATGGTATTTTGTGAACAGAAACACAAAGGTGGTGTCTCGACATGTGTCACATTATTTCTGATGATCTCCCATGGGACTTTGCATCACTGTGTCTTAGACCAGTTGATCCAAGTCGGTTGGAATGGTAAGTATACCCTCAACGTGTAAAGGAATTCCTGTATTGGTTGTGTACTACATACCTGGATCCAGGTATGATTCTTGCAAGAATCATACCTGGATCCAGGTATGTAGTACACAACCAATACAGGCAGGATCCAGGTATGTCGTAAACCACCAATATATACCTCTCAGGATGCACTGATGAGAAAAGAAACTGGAATTCAACCAAGGCATCCCAGAAATCAAGACTCATTGGAAATCGACCCTCTGAAGAACCAACTGCTCATTACGAGATATTGCAAAACAACCATCAAAAGATATTGCTTACCCCCCCCCCCCCAAAAAAATATCTTCTTACTTACTTAATTCCTTGATGATGCCTAATGGCACATCAGCCATTGTGTCTCGCTGCCAGGTGTTCTTTGGTCTTCCTCTATTTCTTTTCCAGTGTGGATTCCAAGTCAAGGCTTGTCTGGTGATGCTTGAAATCGGCTTCCTTAAAGTGTGGCCGATCCACCTCCATTTGCGCTTCAGGATTTCCTCCTCAATTGGGGTTTGTTGAGCTCTCCTCCACAGTTCCTGGTTTGAGACATGTTGCTGCTAGTATATGTGGAGGATTCTTCGCAGACATTTGTTTGCAAATGTTTGGATCTTCTTCATTATCTTTTTTTGTGGTTTGCCATGTCTCTGAGCCATAGGGTAAGACTGACTTGACGTTTGAGTTGAAGATTCGGATCTTGGTGGGGGTAGAGTACTTTGTCGAGCTCCAAACCTTAGACAGCATTAGGAATGTTGTTCGCGCCTTACCGATTCTTGCAGTGACATCATTATCTGTGCCACCCTGCTTGTCGATGATGCTGCCCAGGTAGACGAAGCAGTCCACTTCCTCCAAAGCTTTACCGCCAAGAGTACATTCCTGTGTTCCCAGCAGCATTCACTGTCAGTAGTTTGGTCTTGCCGCCGTGAATCCCCATCCCAATTGGTGCTGATTCTTCTTTTAGGGTGTTGGACTTATCCTGCATCTGTCTTTGTGTGTGAGAAAGGAGGGCGAGGTTGTCTGCAAAGTTGAGGTTGTCTAGCTGTACCCAGGGTGTCCATTGTATCCCATTTCTTCTTCCTTCCTTGGTACGTGTCATGATCCAGTCGATCACGATTAGAAATAGAAATGGGAAAGAAGGCAGCCTTGGCGAACTCCCGTCTTCACATTGAAACCCTCGGTAAGCTGACTGTCGTGTATAACTCTGCATGACATTCCCTCGTAGGTGTTTTTGATGAGGTTGGTGAACTTCTGTGGTATGCCATCCATAATGGTCAAGGAGCCTCCGTAGCACATCTAGGTCAACACTGTCAAAGGCTTTCTCGTAGTCGATAAAGTTGATAAACAAAGAAGAGTTCCATTCTATGGACTGTTCCACGATGATGCAAAGAGTAGGGATCTGGTCAGTACATGAACGATCTCTTCAGAAGTCTGCCTGTTGGTCTCTGAGTTGTTTGTCCACTGCTTCCTTGTGCCTCTCCAAGATGATCCGGTTCAGTATCTTTCCTGGCACTGAGAGGAGCATAATCCCTTGGTAGTTCTTACACTCACGTAGGTCTCCTTTCTGTGGTAACTTCACCAAGTATCCTTCCTTCCATTCCTTGGGTACTTCAGTACCTCAGTCTCCCAGATATTGCCCGGTAGCCTATGCATCATTTCTGTTGATGTGTCCATGTTTGCCTTGATAGCCTCGGCCAGAATTTCATCCGGTCCCGCTGCCTTCCCGCTGTTCAGGCAGCTGATGGCCTTCTTGATCTCCCTTTTTCTTGATCTCCCTTTTGCTTGGGCGTGACAAGTTGACTTGGAGGGCTGTTTCAGCTGGTGGTATCTCGATTGAGGTCTGTGGGGCTGGCCGATTCAAGAGTTCTTCAAAGTGCTCAGCCCACCTCTTTATCTGCTCCCCTGTGTCTGTCAGTACCTGGCCATCCTTGTTCTTGATAGGTCAGTCGGTCTGCTGATATTTCCCAGTCAGATTCTTGGTGGTGTTACAGCTTCCTCATGTCCTTTATTGCAGCTACTTCTTCTGCCTCTCTCGCCAAGGTGTCGATGTAGGCTATCTTGTCTGCTCTGACACTTTTCTTCACTTCCTTGTTTTCCTCTGTGTATCGCTTCTGGGCTTCTGCTTTTGTTGCTCTTGTGCGGCTGTTGTTCAGTGCCTGTTTTCTTTTTCGTCTCTTTTGAACTTTCTTCCGGGTTGTGTCCCATCCTACTTTTAACTTTAGCTTCACTCTTGCTGTGACAAGGTGGTGGTCTGAGGCTGCGTTTGCTCCTCTCTTCACTCTCACATCCAAGAGTGACCTTCAGATGCAGATATGATCAATCTGGTTCTCTGTCTTATGGTCGGGTGACATCCAGGTGGCCTTGGGTATCCTCTTATGTGGGAATACTGTGCCACCAATTACCAGGTTGTTCATTGCACATAGGTTGGCAAACATCTCTCCACTGTCATTCATCCGGCCCAGTCCGTGTATCCCCATTACTTCTTCGTATCCCCTGTTTACTGCTCCAACTTAAGCGTTAAAGTCACCCATTAGTATTGTGATGTCTTTGCAATTTGTCTTGTCTATGATGGCCTGGAGTTGTCGGTAGAACCTCTCCTTGGTCTCCTCATCCTTGTCATTGGTTGGCGCATAGCACTGAATGACCTGCAGTACTATACCCTTCTTCTTTGTTCGGAAGGATGCTGTGATGATCCTTGGTCCATGTGCTTCCCATCGCAGGAGGGCCCTGTTTGCTTCTTCTGTAAGCATGATCCCTACTCCTTCTGTGTGTGGTGCATTGTCCCTTTCATGTCACGAATAGAGTAGAGTTTCTCCATATGTAAGTCTCTTGGTACCTGCTTCAATCCACCTGGTTTCGCTTAGTCCTAGGATGGCGATGTTGTACCTCCTCATTTCTGCTGCTACCTGTGTGGTCTTTCCTGCTTCGTACATAGTCCTTACGTTCCATGTACCTAAAGTTCTGGTTGTCTTGGAACTGAGTAGGGCTGTTGGACTAGTAACTTCCTCATGGCTTTGATTACCAGGCATCATGGTTCCTCGCTTGCCTTGGCGAACTCCCGTCTTCACTTTGAAACCCTAGGTAAGCTGACTGTCGTGTATAACTCTGCATGACATTCCCTCGTAGGTGTTTTTGATGAGGTTGGTGAACTTCTGTGGTATGCCATCCATAATGGTCAAGGAGCCTCCATAGCAGCTTTCGTTGATGTTTCTGTAACAACTTGTTTTTTACGTGGCAGGGGAGTTGGCCCTGCACACACCCCCCAACCTGGAGGACCAGGAGTCTCATTTTCCTCTGATCTCTTCCAAAACCTGTCTGACATGGTTGTACCTTTCAGGAGGCAAGCCTCCAGTCAGCATAGCCTTTGGAATCCTTGAGATACACAAGCCGCTGCAATACGATCAAGGTGAGGACTCAGTAGCAGCAGATCTGAGAGTGTCTAACTCAACAACAACTTTGGACAATAAAACACTGAATCTTACATCGCAAAAGTTACTGGCAAGCTATGTGTCTTACACCAAAATACTACACCCATTATATTTTGCACTTATGGCACTCCCTGCCTTAGAGTGCATTCCTCATGTTATAATACATTTCTCCTCATAAAGATTGGAGTTTCCTCGTTTTTTGTTTTTCCAAGTTACATGCCTGTAAACTGCATAAGATAATTAAGATAACAGTGCTCAATAACATAGCAGCCAAATTTTAGGACCGTCTGCCCTTCAGGGATGGGTTGCAACTGCGGTATTAGCCCGATGGTACATGGTGAATTCTACATTGGCACCACTCAGAGACAGCGAACAAAAAAAGAACGGGTGGTATTATGGCAAAATCAATGAAATTAGTCATCTCCTCCTAAAGTACAGCATGTACAGTAGGGATTTATGACCTTGGCAGTCAGTCATCATTCACTCTTCTGCTACAAAAAGGCAGGCATAGGATAGTCCAATGCAGGTTCCCCATAACAACCCCCTTCATCTGAAGACAGTGTTTGTCGTTAAGCCTGAGCAGAAGTTTGGCTATATAGGTGGAGAAGGGTACGTGTGTGTGGATAATTGTTGGGACGCAAATCTAAGAAGTGCTGCAGAGCTTCATCAGACCTTCATCAGACAACATGCAGAGTTCACTCTAATGTAGTGGGACATTGATAGGACACATGTTGCCAGGATTGTGTAGGTGCATCCGAATGAGCAATTGGTACAGAGGGCTCCATTTACCCAGACATGTCAACGGTCACCCATTGAACATTAAACCAGCCCAAAAATATCAGACAGCTGACACTTGTAGAGGAGTGGAGAGCCATATCCCAGTGTCACCCACAGCTTCTGGTATAAAAAAGTTCCTGGATTTTTAACGGGAATTTTCACTTTAGGTTTAGGGTTGTTATTAGCACCCCCTCCCCCTTTTCCAAATATCAATGGCCATTTGGTTAATGTGTAATAAGATTTGAAGGTTTGCATGGTGAAAAGAGCAATAAGAGTAAGTTCATATTAACTTAATGTTTGCAATGCATTGTTTCTTTCAGGCAACCAACTCCGAGACGGTACTGCCTGCAGATTTGATCCTTGATTCAGAAGATATGCCAAGGATTGGTAGGCGCCTAACTGCCATTTTTGCAGTTACCCTGCTGACTACAAGTTTATTTGTTCTATTCAGGAGAAACAGTATTCAAACAATTGTGAGAACTGGAATTTGATCGTGCATTTCTTTGAACTGATTGCTCTGTGTGAATGCTGCAAAAAAAATCTGATCTTCTGTGCACAAAGTGTGTAGATGTAGATGCCTTTGATATTTTTGGAAACACTGCAAATTACAGTGTCTAAATGGTTTGAGAAGAAAGCCCCATCCAAGTCCCAAACTTGTTTGTTTGCTGTTCTATTTAACTTTTGGGGGTTCTAATTGGCCTATGCGTAAAGTTTGTGGAAAATTTCATATTTTATTTCAGGATTGTCTTTGGTATAGTTGCGGAAAAAATACTGTTTTTGTTAAGAAATGTATTGTTTTTCTTAGATATTGAAAGCATTTTTCTGATAGGCAATTTCAAGATTCAGAACAATGACATGATCAAACTTGGCACAGGCAAAGAATGATGAAAGTGTGCATAATGAAGTCATGTGTTGCATGACATCCCAAATGTGCATTTTTTTCGTTGTCCTATACAGGGTGTTTCATAAAAAAGGAAAGAGCTCATTTTGTTGATTCCTCGGGTATGACTAATTATTTAGGTAACCACCATCTGTTGCATAACCATGTCTTCTTTTTCTTGACACCACAAACTCTATTTTACAGTCACGGATGACTGAGCACCAAGTGATGTAACTGACATGTCAAAAATGGCCTTGTACCACATGAATCCCGGGACATACCGTTATTTCGTTTTACCGTTTTGCATTTCCTCAAAAACAAAAACAGTAAACGCACCGTTGACCGTTTTTTCGTTTTACAGTTTTGTAAAACGGTCAAACGGTATTAGGTCACAAAAAACAATGACCTTTTTGTTGTTTTTCTTAATTGTTGAAAGCGATAAACGGTTAGTTGCTTCATTTCAGAGTGTTGTTTTAAAAGAACATGACAATGAAAAACGGTCAATAGTCATGTCGACCATTTTTTGATTTAGGTTCGGCAATTAAGCAATGCACCTAGGAATGTTAATGCGTCCTCATGGGATCGAGTCATTGCCTGATGGGACCCAAATTACCCTCCTCACATTTCGTTCTCACGACATAGTTTTCGAACTGGCTATTGAAGAGCCGCGCCGAACTCCAATTTCCTTCAAATATCTGCAACTTCTTCAAACGTATTACCATCCTGTATCCATTGTAAAAAGTAATGTCCTCCCTTGAAGTTTTCCACTGAGCGCCATTTTTGCTTGCAACTCTTAAGCCCCACCAACTGAATCGCGTGAGAAGGGGGTCAGGGTCACGCCAGGAATCATCACACCACGCATTATGCCGAGGTAACACTTTTTCATGTAAAGCATGGTCCCCCTCCATCCCCCTTGCCCAGCACCACAAAATGCACCACGGACTGTTCACTATGACACTGAAATAAAAAAAAACAGTCTGTATTCAATACTGACCGTTTTGCTGTTTTTCAAAGTTATTTGTGTAAAACTGTAAAACAAAAATCATTGATCGTTATGCTGTAATGAATTTTATTAAACTTATAAAACAGAGAAACCGTATTTATCTTGATACCGTTTGACCGTTTTACAAAACTGTAAAACGACAAAACGGTCAATGGTTTGTTTACTGTTTTTGTTTTGAGGAAATGCAAAACGGTAAAACGAAATAACGGTATGTCCCGGGATTCACATGCACCATAAGACCAATTGACAGTTATCAGAGAGAGAGTTATCAGGAATGCATTCACAGCAATGAGAACCAGGGCAGAGATTTGTGTTGAAAGGAATGGGGGGCATGTTGGAGGACAGTTGGGTTAACGTTGACAGTGATTAACCTTGATATGTTTTAGCAATTGAAAAATGACTTTGATAATGTATGTCCTGGATTTTGTTATTTTCAACATGCTGAAAACTGTCAATTGGTCTTATGGTGCATGTGGTACAAGGCCATTTCTGGCATGTCAGTTACATCACTTGGTGCTCAGTCATCCGTGACCGTAAAATGGAGTTCGTGGTGTCAAGAAAAAGAAAACATTGTTATGTAACACGTGGTGGTTACCATTTTCCTAAATAATTAATCATACCCGAGAAATCAACAAAATAGCTCGGTTTCCTTTTTTTTGAAACACCCTGTATATCTACAAACTAGAGGTGCATCATGGTTGAAACTTTGTTGATTGGCAATGACTTGTTATATGTAAAACAAACAAAAAATTAAGTATTGTCATGATGAAGTCATTTGGAGGTTTTTAAAGATTTTTGAAATTTTTAACCTTGATGTTATATGTTGCAAACACTACATTGTAAAGTTTTGTAATAGCTTTGGTAGGTCATACAGATACCTGTACGCTTTGTACTGGTATCTTTTCCTTTCGTCATTTTTGTGGGTGCTGTAAAAACGGTATGAATACTATTAAAAGTTCAAACATTAGACCATGCATAAACAGACATAAGTTTAGGTTTTTGTTTGTTTTTTATGTTTTTTTTCCATAGACTTTGTACATGTTATATTTAAACGTCACTTTGGTAGTTTTCCGAAACTTGTGTTCTAATGAAACTTGACACAGACACAGACTACACACTCGTGTTTTATATTTATAACGCCCAAAGACAAACAACTGTCTTTTCCTTTGTCTCTCCCATAGACAAAGCACATCAACGTACGATCGAGGACCATTTTCAACAAAAGGTGAACGATCGAGGTCAACAAAGAATCTGTTGTTCTGCCTTTGTCTGTCGGTCCTCGGGGTGTATGTAGTTCACGCATACACATACCAAAGACCTGCAGGAGCATAATGATTTTATTATCGTGGCTACACAGAAAAAACTGTCCAACTCCCTTCCTTCTCACATCCTTCAGTCACGCCAGTCTTGTCTGGTCATACTTTCCTTTTCACATTATTGGTTCCTTTTCAAATTTCAGTTTTTGTTTACTTTATGATAAATATTTGCTTTGTCTTGTACTTGTTTCATTTGTTGGCCAAATAAATAATGTGATGGTCACTACGTGAGTAGTTCCTAGGTTGTTGATGTGTATACAGCAACGGGGGTAAGGATCTGGATCCCTGGTCAGGTGACGGCAGGGAGGCAGGCTGATATGCACACGCCCACAGAAAACTCAGTCAGACTCATTATGTCATATATGGGGACCATCAACTACGGTATTTTCTCATAGTCTCCTAGGTCTACATAGGCCTACTTGCCAGTTACTGGTCATTTTCCAATCACATATTCTCCCCTAGGTGACATAATTTTGTGAAGAGAAAATGCAGTTATTGACTATCTAATACTTTTGTGGGCATGCCATATCAATCATTGTTTCTTTGCGAATTATTATGTTGATTTTCATGACTAATTCATCCCCGACTGACATCAGTCAATCCTTCTACATGTATATGAAGGTCGCCATTATAAAAGGCAAAATGGAAAATGGAGCATTCTTTCTGTGGATTAAACCTAATGTTTTCACTCCAAAATTTAAAGTGAAATCAAGTACATCATACAAATCAATGACCATTTCAGGGTCTTAGCACTGGAATGATGCTGCTGACATCTCTTAACAGATTGTAAGCCAAGGAGCCATCTCCTGGTCATTTTTTTTTTTCCAAACAGGATCCGGCAGGAGTGCTTTTGAGAATTTATAAGAAATAAGGCAGCAGATTTGTGACGGTAGTTGTGACTCTAAGGCCAACAAAAAAAATATTTGGTCTCTGGTCAGACCAAAGTTCCGGAATTGACGCGGCCACGCGGCTTTTTTTTTTTTTTTTGCTTTGTTTTCTTTTTTCTTCAAGCTTGGATTGTACAGACAAGGTGGGGTACTATTTTGCTTTTTTGGTGTCCTCATGTACATTGGTTTCCTCCATAATTTGCCTTGGTGCTTTCAATCATTTGCCTTGGTGCAATTTCCCATTCCTTGGTGCTCTTTGGTAAAAAAAATTGAGGAGGTGCGGAAATAGAGGGCGCTGTTGGAGCTACCGCGGAACATTTTGGAAAAAAAATCCAATCCATTTCATAACGGAACATAGCGCTCATTTGGTTTGTTACAATTAAACGTGTGGTAAATACGCAGCAAAAGGACCGTTTTCAAACGTTAAATTGAAAGCATATCGAGTACACAATGACAAATATTTCTGGATCACACATCATTTGAAAGAGGAATTCATATTCACTGAGGCGGTTGAGGCACTTCCACTCAGTCCACTTGGTGTCAGCTCCAGGTGGGAGCTCTTCCTGAGGCTTCAGTGCCAAGGATGTTGTTGCTGGGCGGTTTGGTATTCTTTCCTCCCACAAGGCAACTCTTGTGCTAGCTGGAGATGTTACAAGAGGATCGACGCTTCTCAGGAAGCTCTTCCTTGACTTCAGGCGGTTAGCTGCTGGAGTCTGGTTGAAGACAGGATGACGTACATCTTCAGTTTGGCGACTACGCTGCTTCATGCTTGCTACCTGACGTCTGATATCAGGGGGAGCTATGCCTGCCAGTATGTGTAGGCTGTCTGTAGGTGTTGCTCGGAGACATCGAGTAATCTGGCGGCAACAGGCGTTTAGAGCAGTATCAATCTTCTTTGCATGTGTTGACCTTTCCCACACAGGGCATGCATATTCTGCAGCAGAGTAGCAGAGTGCTAGGGCAGTTGATCTTATTGTCTGTGGTCTGGTTCCCCAGGTAGTGCCAATGAGTTTGCTCAGGATGTTGTTTCTTGAGCACACCTTGCTCTTTGTCTTCTCCACGTGGTTTTTGAAGGAGAGGGTGCGATCCAAGGTGACTCCAAGGTACACTGGATGATCACAGTTCTCAAGGGATGTGCCTGACCACCTGTAGTTGCCTCTTTGCTTCTCGGTTGCGTAAATGGAAGGCGCACACCTGTGTCTTCGATGGATTGGCACGAAGGTGATTTGCTTGGTAGTAGGGTGTTAACTCTTCCAAGGCTTTCGAAAGTTGTTCTTCCACAACCTCAAAGTCAGCATGTTGTGCACTTATGCCCAAATCATCTGCATAGATGAAGCGACGAGTACCATCAGTACTTGGTTGGTCACTAGTATAGATGTTAAAAAGAAGCGGAGCAAGAACACTCCCCTGTGGGAGGCCATTCCTTAATCTTCGCCATCTGCTCCTCTAATCACCTAGTTCCACAAAGAAGAACCTATTCTCCAGCATGCTTTCAATCAGCTCAGTCAGGCGGATGTCCTTGGTGATATCCAAGATCTTATGGAGGAGGCACCTGTGGTTGACTGTGTCATAAGCTGCGGAGAGGTCGACGAACACGACGCCAGTTACCAAACCTTCCTCAAAACCATTCTCGATGTGCTGAGTGAGGTTGAGTACTTGGCTGGTTGTTGACTTCCCTGGGCGGAATCCAGCTTGTTCTGGGATGAGGTGTTCATCTATTGCAGGACCAAGTCTGTTGAGGATGAGGCGTTCAAAGAGCTTGTAAGTATGGCTCAGAAGTGAAATGGGTTGGTAGTTCTTGGAAACCGATGGGTCTTTCCCTGGCTTCAAGAGTGCTTGGACCTGGGCCTTTTTCCAGATGTTGGGAAGTTTGTGAGTTGTCATGCAGTTGTTGTAGAGTCCAAGAAGCCATTTCTTAGCTTCGGGGCCAAAGTGCTTAATCTGCTCTGTTGCGATGTTGTCTAAGCCTATTGCTTTGCCTGGCTTCAGCTTTGAGATACCTTCTTCC